AGAGAGAGAGAGAGAGAGAGAGAGAGAGAGAGAGAGAGAGAGAGAGAGAGAGAGAGAGGAAAAAATGCATTTGGTTTTGGAACAATATTTGCTGCAGGCGAAATGATTTCTATTTGCGTAGGTATATATTTGATGTCATTATATACGGGCCCAGTGTCCAAGTCCGTAGATCAATAAAAATATTCCTCGACCACGAAATATCAAGGGGCCGGCAGGGCCAAATCCTGAGCCTGAGGCAGAGACACACCCCTCGAAAAGCAGATGTAGCCAACAAGTACATCCATCAATTTTTCTCAATAGCCAACAAGGACATCCATCAATTTTTCTCAAAGACAGAAAGTCCTATCCCATGCTCACACTACACTCCACACAAAAAATTACTCCGTACGAAGAGAAAACAGTCGTGGCCATCTACTAGAACGAAGCCGTCGCCTTTTCGACAAAGTCCTATCTAACCCGAGACCACAACCTTCTGCTCTCGGAGTCCATGAAAAGCAGATGCGTCCACAAAAAGATTACACAACAAAATAGGCAAAGTCCAAACAACCCTAACCAAAAGAAAGACTTATCATCCAATCAATTAAGCCTCCACTGCCCTCCAGTAGACGGCCCCAGCCTTATTGAAAAGAAAACTCGCCGCACGCGGGCCCTTTTCCGAGGCCCAGCACCATAGATAAATCTAATTGGCCGCGGGCGGCCTCCGAAAAGCACCCGCGGCCGATAGCTGGACGATGTGCTGGTGGTTTAAGGTAAACCGCCAGCGTCTCTTTTCCCTCTATTAGTCCATATACAATCTTCCAAATTGAATACAAAACCACCCTTACCCTTTTATTGAATCAAGTTCCACCTCTCTATCCGGCGAAAAAACAAACACTCACTGAAACAATAACACTTGATCCAGCTATTGCAAAAATTAGGCTTGCTGGCCCAAAAGCAATTCTGGTCGCAATGAGCCAAAAAGCTTGGAGATGGGGGGGATAAAAAAAAAACTCAAACCTTGTAACATCCCCCTCAGAAAAAAAAAAAAAAAAAAAAAAAAAAAAAAAAGAACCCTCCCCCCCTCCCTCACTTCACCGAACACAGAGATGCCAGAGCCAGAATTCTACGCATTCATCGTCGAAGATTACCTCCTGCGCGCAGGCAAGAAGGCGGAACCTGACACCAAAGCCAGAAGAGCATTGCAAACAAACAAACAAACAAACAAACAAACAAAAAAACAAAAAAACAAAAAAACAAGAAAATGACTAAACAAGAATAAGACCACGTAACAGGAGAAGATTATGCACTACAGGGGCTCCAATGCAGACCAACACGGAGTCAACGAAACGAGGCGATGGTCATCCGCTTTTTGCACCTCATAACGACCAGGTACATACAACTCGCACACGGACGAATCGTGCCCCGCCAATCACAACCCAATGGATCTTCAATCAGTGGGAGAACAGGTGGTCCCATCTTCACAGTCCGGCTTGCCGGCTCCACTCAACAAGATCGCTCGTCTAAAGCGCGACGAGCACACGAATGGTCGTCTAAAACGACGAAGGAGCGAAGCGTTCATCTCCAACCTCGAGTCAAACCGGCATCCCACGGCTGCATACATACCATTTCGGTTATAGCAATGCGATCGATTTCTCGCGTCCCATGTCCCATCAGCAGCATACTTGAGGCCGCAGCACAATCAATAGCGCTGTGACGAGCATCACTCTAAACTCCACACATAGCGTCGGCGCTAAGTTCCAGATTGCTTACATAGACACGCATCACTCTGGCTCCCAGCGTCGGCGCTGGATCACGCTAACGGACGCCATGTTCACAAAGAATTAACATGGCCGTCACGAGCGGCAGGGTCAGTCAGTTGTGCATCATGATGGCCTCCACTTTCAATCCCTAAGCTGGACGTTTCAGACAATCGCACTACACCGTCGCGCGATGACTTCTGATACGCGGGAGCCTAATCAACATCCGTGATTGTCTTTCGGAATCAAACCCTAAACCGGAAATCCGAAGCAACACCCGCCGAAGTTGGGGTAGTCTGGAATCTTGCACAATCCCTCCTGCTCCCCCTCCTCCCTCTCCACCCCCCATTTGTTCACCGCATTTTGTCAGGACCGACTGGTCGTACAATGCAGACCATCCAGAAAACAATGACAATTCAAAACCGGTAGCTACCGGTCCCGGTCATCCACAACCCCACGTACCGCCAATCATCCGAACAACAAAAAAGACAAGCCTTGGGTACGGACGCCGTACCCCGCTATGCCGCGGCGAGCTCTTGAAGATGCCTTCGTCGTGAATGCAAACGTCCCACGCTCGTGGATGCCCACAAGCTTTGTTTTCAAATCTCCGACATATACAGTTCAGTATCTGAAGCATTGTGGTTCTGATGAGACAGAGCTGCGCGATTGAGATCAGGACTCTGTCTAAAGAGGTTCGCGTACAGAAAGGAAAAAAGCTTTCTCTGAAAAGAACCTGCTGTAACTACCATCCAGATGCATACACGGAAGTCGTATTGTGCGCATGACCTAAAGCATGTACCGTGCCCTCTCCAACATCCATTAAAAATTCGAACGTTATGGAGAAGATAGTAGCATGTTCCCTGCACATCGATAACACAAAAATCAACCAATGGTTCAAATTAAAAGAATTGGAAAAAAAACACAAAATTCTTCTGATCCCATCCTACAACCTTGCCCTGCCATGGCACACCACTTTCCTGGAAGATTAGCGCTCTTCAATTGGAGACGAAGATAGCTTCTCTGACATAATTACGATCTCTCCACACGGAAATCAATCAATCACCTCTCTCTCTCTCTCTCTCTCTCTCTCTCTCTCTCTCTCTCTCTCTCTCTCTCTCTCTCTCACACACACACACACACACACAAACAAACACACAAAGGGGCTCCGAAAGGGGGTCGGACCCGACAGGTGAGTGCCTGTCTCTTATACACATCTAGATGTGTATAAGAGACAGCTCTCTTTCACTCTCTCTCTCTCTCTCTCTCTCTCTCTCTCTCACACACACACACACACACACACACACACACACACACACACACACACACACACACACACACACACACACACACACCTGTCTCTTATACACATCTAGATGTGTATAAGAGACAGCACACACACACAACACACACACGCACACACAAAACACACACAAACCCGCACACGCACACACACCCACACCCGTGCACACACCTGCACATTCTTGGACGTATTTAAGCGAAATGATGGCCAGTGCCGGATGTATCTGACCACAAATTACCACTGGAGATCAATTAATAGTCCTAGTGCGAGTGTTATCTGGCGACTTCTGAAAGCATGGAGGCGGCAAACGACCGAGACCATAACAACCAGCCCATTGAAAAAAAGAAAAGAAAAAGCAGAAACACACATGGCAGTCGACACAACAATACCCGAGAGAGCTTTTTGGAGTCTCACAGACTCTATCTACCAGGAGGCTTAACCCGCTGCACAGAGAACTACCCAGTCTACAACCATCTAAAAGACAAAGGGTATAGGCCTCTCTCCACTACTCGCCTCGTTCACAAAACACAACGTATGGCGGTGCATCTTCCCATGTTCTAGCGGAAGATTCATTCTCATTTTGCACAAAATACAAAATATATCTGCCTAGGTTCTAGCACAAGATTCATTCTCATTTTGCACATTTGGTGAGTAGTGGCGCGATGTTAAAAGCCGGCGTCGATGCTCATGAGCGATCTTGAAACAGCATCAATGCTCATGCTCGTATTTTATTCTCAGGTTGCCCCTCCGATCTGTGCCCTCTCTTCTTCTTACCCGAGGCCGGGTAATGGCCCCGGCATCTCAAGTTGTTCTCTATATTTTATTATTTCCTCATATGGGACGCTGGGCCCGGTTCCCAGCACACGCTGCTCCCCACACATTCCTCCTCAGAAACTTCTGCGCAAAACCAAAAGACAAAAAGCCGAGTTCAAACCACCACTACCTGCACAGGACTCCGCGGCCCAACCCAGGGCTCCAGACGGTAAGAGTTAAACAAACCAGGGCTCCAGACGGTGAAAGTTAAACAAACCAGGGCTCCAGAGGGTAAAAGTTCAAAAGAGACATCTTTTACCAGGGCAGGCTGTATTTGTTTTCCCCGATGCCGTGGTTCCCTCCAGACGGTAAAAGTTAAAAAGAGACGTAAAAGTTAAACAAACCAGGGCTCCAGACGGTAAAAGCAAACAAACCAGGGCTCCAGAGGGTAAAAGTTAAAAAGAGACATCTTTTACCAGGGCAGGCTGTATTTGTCTTCCCCGATGCCGTGGTTCCCTCCAGTCGGTAAAAGTTAAAAAGAGACATCTTTTACCAGGGCAGGCTGTATTTGTCTTCCCCGATGCCATGGTTGCAGCTTTATAATGCCGACGCCGCCACCAACGGCTTCCCAATTTTCCACAGCCATACACGGAGACTTCCAATTGCAGGATATAAAAGAGATAGGAAGGGAAAAAAGAAACTGCGGCTGACCACATAGAACACCGCCAGTCCGCCATCTCCATGAAAAAAGAGGGGGAGAGAACGGCATTCACCCACCTCCACGATGATGGCACACTCACACAAGCACTTCCTTTAATGTATCTGACAGCACTTTACAGCCGCCGGGGCAAATCACATCCAGGGTGTGGTAGAAAAATTCCTAGTGTGAGCAGGCCCTCGGATTGCGAAATTGCAATCGAATTTTGAACAGGCATGTCAGGAGACAGAAAAAACACGCTCTGTTGTGCCCTTCCCCTTGGTACAATAATATATATATATTTTTAAATTAATATCCCTTGTTTTCAAGAGGCAAGGTATCCGGCGTGGGAGTAGTACTCTCCGAGGTTCTTTTTATAACTTCCTATTAGTTTCTTTATGACTTCATTTGAATCATTTGTTATTTTTAACTTATTTTCATTGGTTATTCGAACTTATTCCTTCTTTTTTCTTTTCTATTTTTTCTTTCCTTTTTAGTTTGTTCGGATGGCAAACTGCTCATGCCATTGKTTTTYTWTTTTTTTTTKTTTTTTTKTTTYYSCCCCCCCCCCCCCTTTAGTGCGTTCAGCGACCAMTAGGCAAGGAAGACGAGAGCCGTAATCCACCAGTTYGAGTGGAGCCCAACTTCAYGGATGCSMMTCCGGGGMCTGCCCRGYCTGARRCCGGAKGATCGTCRTTCCCTTTTTATAACTTCACGGATGTCCTTTTTATTTGTTTAGGCAAAATCATTTTTGGTTCACCAGGTAACCACTTCGATTGCCATATGCATCCGGTTTGCACAAGTGTTTTTTTTTTTTTCCATGGCCTGAACAAAATTTTCTTGTTTTTTCTATAAAAAGATCCCCCTGCCACAAGAGTCACCTAGGGAACACATCCCTGATTGTTTTCTGGATATTTTGGCCACTGGAAATCAGAATTTACAATAACCAACTTCAGGGTACTCACAATTTCACACAAGCCCCCAGTACCTCCCCCAGATCCGTAGGCGCAAGCGGTATACTCTTTTATCATGTATACAGGTAAAAGAGGCCTACTTCGCTTCGGCCCGAAGGGGTGGTGTAACAACCTACGATTCGGCAACAAGGGGAGGAAGAGAGGCGGAGAGGGGGGGAGGTGGGGGAGGGGGCGGGAAGGGAATAGGATGGTTAGTTAAAGTCTACCGTAGAAGTCAGCTACCAGAAAACAACACTGCACAGACTTTCCCGTTCTCTAGGCTTTTATAAGATTTCTCTCGACTGGCAATTTTATTACGAGACGAGCGAGCAAAACTGAGCTTCGCAAACCTGCCCGTGTGGCTGAAAACTACAAAAACACCTAACTGTTAATAAGCAGATCATGAGTTCAATCGTGACAAGATCTGATCTGACGGACTTTTGTTTTTTTTTAAAGGGCGACAGTCTTGAGATATATCCACAGGTGACCGGCCCGGGGTAATTCGAGATTGTTATGGAAGTTATTATTGCAGATTATATGTCATGATCACGACTTACCTGATCTGACAGACTGAAAAGTGTTAAGACAAAAACATGACGGATAACGTTTTGAAACCCCTCCCCTTTGAAAATGGGGGCATAAACACTTGCAGACGAACGGATGTCAAAAAATATTGAATGGATGGTAAGGAGCCGTAGGCATCTCACATACATAACCGAATCCCCACGTAGGGAAAAAAGAGGAGCCGTAAGCATCTCCAGGATGCCCATTTTTTTCCCGACGTATTCCGTCCGCGGCATCTCCACGCATATAACCGAGTCCCCACGTAGGGAGAAAAAAGGAGAGTCATAAGCATCTCCAGGATGCCCATTTTTACCCCAATGTATTCCGTCCGCGGCCCCCTCTTCGGACCTGGAAGAAGCTTGCGTACCCTTGCAAGCAGAAGGCGAACGCGGGACACCAAAGAAATGTCTCGTACGGCGAGCATCACTTTCCAGCGACAAGGACACTGTTGTGAAGGGAGGGATGTTTCATCCCAGTTTGTGATCTTTTACGCTCTGATGACACAACAAGAGAGCTGTAGCTGATCTCGCTCTCTTTGTCTCCCTCCTCCTGGCAGGGAACACAGCTCTGCACAAATGCATCTTATATATATATATATATATCGTCAAATAGAACTGCCCGGTAAACCGTAGGCAGAGAGGGAGAAGAGGACATATATATATATATATATCGTCACAAACAGAGCTGCCCGGTAAGCCGTAGGCAGAGAGAGAGAAGAGGACAACAAACGAGGGGCTGTGACAAACTGTTTCGTCAGAGTTTCACCGACTCATCAGGAGGCTGAACCCTATATATATAGAGAGAGAGAGAGCATGAAATGCAAAATGAGGGTGGCGAGTTTGTTTTTTGGGTTTTTTTTTTTTTTTTTCGGGTGGAGTTTCATGCAAAAAGAGGGGGAGGATTATGCGATAGCGTGTTCTCATGTTTCCTCCTCCACCCAACTACGCCAGCCCGGACCTATCAATTTCTTGTGCAAAGAAGAGCCATACTAATCCTACGCGTGCGGGATAGAGTAATTGGTAACTCGTCAGGCTCATAATCTGAATTTTGTAGGTTCAATAGCGCTTGGCTTGACGAAATCTTTCAGCAGATAGATCATCACGCAAACTGGCAGGAGCTTCGTCTGCACGTCCATACTGGGTTCGGAGAGGTATTGGTGTGTTTGTTCGTTTGATTGTTTGTTTTCAAAGAAAAAAAAAAAAAAAAAAAGAGGTCCTTATGGTCCTGGCTCTTGCGTGTGGAATCGGGGAGGTATTTGTAATTTAGTATCAATTTACAAAAAAGAAAAAACAATATGCATAGCTATTAAGAAAATAATAAAACTAATATTCCCAGGTTCGGCCAGACATTAGGATTGGCACAACTCGTGAAAGTAGATCCGGTGGAGTCGCACTGTCGCACACATCATTGCATTTGTTTGTTAATGTAATTTTAGTATTATTTTACAAATTTGTGTACACACGTTTATAACTTCATAGGTAATAATGTCACATTTGTCTCACAAAATTGCAATCCACTGGCAAACACGAACATGCAGTCAATCACCAGATTAAATATCTTTACCTCAGATATACCGGGCACGCATAGTCCGACCGTGACTTGGTCGCGCACCCAATCAACTCTCTTTCTGTGCTATTCATTACAAATATCTACGTGATATCACACAGCATTCTTGAACGAGAGCCGCTGAGCAGCAAAAAAAGAAAAGGTCATTAAAAAAAAAACTAAAAAAAAGAACTACCCAGTGTATCCAACATGCTCCCCCCCCCCTCTCTCTCTCTCTCCAACCCCCCACCCCACCCCACCCCCCCCTTAAAAATCGCATCCACGCGACTCCACAGGTTCAGCACAATGATTGCAAAGAAGAAGGAAACCCAACATTCACTTGCTCACAGAGTACTCCTACTAGGCTGGTGGTTGATGTCACATCATATAAGATTTGAACTCACAATAGCTCCTGTGCCCAGACATCGGTCTTCTTATCTGCCTGCACAACCATTGACCTGCACAGTGCACACCCAGATCGCATCGCACGGACAAGTCAGGAGAGATTTTCAGTCCTCCGGTGAGGAAATTCGTAATCCGAATAACCTTCGCAAAGTGTATAGTTTCTCGTACGGCACTGCTGCATTTCAAACACGCACTGCAACAAACAACAAAAATATAAGACCTGCCTGCATTTATGGACATTAGAAAGATTGGCAGTCTTTCCTATCATATCAGGAGAAATACGATCAGGAGCTGATGCCAGCCCAGATCCAGCCGATTTTCTTCTTTCCCCAATACTCCTAAAGAAAATAGTGGGCCTTGTGTGACCGCCCCGCACGGTACGTCGCTGCCCGTGTTGGGAAAACCAGGGCGCGGGGCGGGCCCAACATGGTATGCAGCCTAGCTGACATACTACCACAACCGTCCCGAGGGTGGAGTTGTGCCTATGTGTTTCTTTTTTTTCTCTGTGTGTGTCTGTGTGTCTGTGTGTGTCTGTGTGTGTCTGTGTGTCTGTGTGTGTGTGCTTATTTCGTGTGCCTGTGTGTTGGTACCCATCCAGTCAGCATGGTCTGACCGACTCTGCAAGGCGCCACCTGATCCACACGATACCGCCCAGCCTGCATACAACATGCCAAGGGCTGAGTTGTGCCCAAGTTTACGCAGGCGTTTTTCTTTTGGGGGCATGGCCAGGAGGAGAAGGGGCAGGTATGTGCAGCAGGCGTCTGCTTGTTTTTCTTTTGGGGGCATTAAATATTAAATTTTGTCCAGTGAAAAACAGCTGAACCAAAATTTATGCGTGCCGTACCATTCTAATCTTCTGTGTACCATTCCAGTTCGAAAGGACGTCCCGACAGACGATATGACAGGCTTCCAACACAGCAGATTCCACTAGACTGTGTGCTTAAAGCACTGGTACCTTTGCCAGTTCGGAAAATGGCGGGCCTCCGACCTTTCAGGAGGCGGAAACGAAACGATGGCCACCGGTCATATTGATCAACGGCAGCCGTTGTCGGGCTAAAACTTGTCGAAACCGGACGGCAAAGGTACTAGTGGTTTAAGACAGTTACACCACAACGCATGGCACAACACCGCCAAATCGTCCAAACAGTATCAGGCGCAGGTGATGCTATGCGAATTGAACTCGAGACCTTCAGTGAAAATCCAATGAGACAACGTCACTTGCGCACAGCCGCCTCTGTGCTGTTTCCATGCCACCAGTTGGGCCAGCAAAGTGGAAGACCAGAAACAGAGTACCAGTCCCACTGCCCCAAGCATGGAAAGGATTCCTCAGCGACCGGAAACCGAGTACCAGTCCCGCTACCAGTCCCACTGCCCCAAGCATGGAGCGGATTCCCCAGCGACCGGAAACCGAGTACCAGTCCCGCTACCAGTCCCACTGCCCCAAGCATGGAACGGATTCCCCAGCGACCGGAAACCGAGTACCAGTCCCACTGGGGCAAGGTCAGGAAGGAAATGAGAAAGGAAACAGACAGGCCACAGGAAATCTGGAACAGGTCCTTCCGCAAGGTGTTAGGAGCAGTCAGAATAGCATCATCATTAGAACGGGCCGATATCCGCTTCAGGTGGAAACAGTGAACACGGGTGCACGAACAGGTTACGACCTTGGTACACAGGACACAGAGCTCGCCTGCCGCTTAGTCTAACCTTGGCCTAGAAATGGATGAGACCATTCAGAGGGATGCTGAACCCGGTTTCCTGCACGACACTGGACCAAGGGATGACTGGTTTCAGGCAGTAAGCAAAGAGACAGGGCAGAGACTGGGCGAAACACGGCGGTTTCAGGCAGTAAGCAAAGAGACAGGGCAGAGACCCGCGGAACGGGCAGGACAGAAGGACGCAAGGCAGGCTAAGAGTAAGAGGTTGGCATTGCGAGGAGCGGAGCGGAGCAGCAGTACATCCTTCCAGAGCAGAATCGGCTATTGGGCTCGCTATTCTTGTTATCAAGGAAGCAAGGAATCAATGCCCCGCCATCTCAGGATCCTTCAGCTGTAATCGAAGGAAGAGTGGTGTGGAAATTGTTGTAAGGGATGCTGGACCCGGTTTCCAGCAATAATAAGCAAAACCATATTCGCACTGAAAGGGGAAAAAAAAAAAAAGAGTCATTCACGATTAGGAACTGCTAGAGCAACGACTCCAATGGTGAACGGGATACTGCATGTTGCCCCGTGCCCTGGAGATTAATTTTTTTGAGGGATCATTATAGCGTATAGTTTTTTTGAGAGATCAATATAGCGTATAAATTTTTTCGAGAGATTAATATCTGAGTGAGGACGTCGCCCGGCCGGTTGGGCCCGGGGGGGCCGCCCGGGTAAACCGGGCAGGCCAAAAAACCGCCCAGAAATATATATATATATAGCCAAACAGAGCTGCCCGGTAAACCGTAGGCAGAGAGGGAGAAGAGGACAACAAACGAGGGGCTGTGGCATATATTTTTTGAAACCGGGGTCGTGCGTAGAGGCCCCCGAATCTGCAATAAAATTTTGGATTCGGGGGCGGGATGGGGGGGTTGGTCTGGGTGGGGGGTGCTGGGGTTGGGGGGGCGTCTGTGATGTGACGCAGATGCGCCTTTTTTTTTCCTATTTGTAAGGGGTGTGTGTGTATACAAAAGGGGGCAAGAGAGAGAGAACGAATCCCCTTAGCACGGCTCAGATGGCCCATGCAGGCTATCTGAAGGGTCCTCGCAGCCATGTAGTGCAGACCCCCCCACCAAAATCGAGGCAGGCAGCACATATGAAGTAGAGCACGAGCTGGCGGAATATATACTCAAGATTCGAATTCAGGTCTGTGTTTCAGCAGTTATGGGTTGCTCACGCAGCTAGGCCCTGTTGGTCTTTGCACGTGACTCTTAGGGAGTGGCTGCACTACTCAATAAATGTGCAAAATTAGAATGAATCTTTTGCAGAATGTGGAATAACACGCCACCATATGTTTTGTCTTTTGTGCATTTGGTGAGTAGAGGCCCTTAGGGCCACTGAACGCACTCCTAAGAAAAGAAAAACGAGAAAAGAAAAGAAAAGCAAGAAAACAGAGAAATAGTGACCCATTACCGAGATGCACAGACCTGAATTCGAACCCAGACTATATATTCTCTGCCCACCCTCACGGAGTACAATTTTGAAGTGTATCTTGGCATGACGTCGGTTCCTAGCTAATATGCTGTACGGATCCTTCCGAACTAGGACGTTCTTATTTTTCTACTTTTTTCCTAGGTTGCACTCCGGGCCGCCCGGCGCCCGGCTCGTCGCCCGGGCGGGGGGCCGGGCCGCCTGGCCGGTCGTCCCGCCCGGTTGGCCACCGGGCGACCCCAGCGCATCATAGAGAG